AGAAATTGCTGAAAGAGGTTGAAATATATAGCTCTGAGTGGTTGAGCTCTGTTGCCGCCGCAATGCCTCTGGGGCCCCGATTTGGCTCTGTCGCCAGACGCTGAGATTTAGCACCAGGCGCTAAAATCTGTTGCCAGACGCTAGATGTTTTTGTCTGGCACTGAAGTAGGAAAGAAGATAGAGCAAAAGAGTCGCCAAAATTTTTTTTAATAATGCACACACAGAGATCATGACTTGTGTGTGCATTGTAATGTAATCGTGCGACTCGAAAATGCAAAAAAGAAAAAAAATTCCGTCATTTTTGTGGAGGGTACCGACTTTCTCCCGAAAAAGAAAGACGCAAAAAAAGAATCGAAATTTTCAAATGCATGTTGAATGAGCTTAGTCAAATGTTGTTTCTCACAGTACAAGGATTATAACGTCTTAGACTATCCTAGTTGACTCGATAATGAAATTATTTAGATAACTTTGGCACGGAGGCTAAGCACTTCATACTTCGATGCAATGATGATTATGAATTATGAGTGATGTTGATATGAAAAGGTATGCTTCAACGTTATGTTAAGATTTCATGACAAAGGGATCCTAAGGGAAGTATATTTGGTCATGTATCTGTGCAGTGTGTGAAAATGACACTAAAATTAGGCCGCAAGGGCTAAGTGTGTGGGAAAATATATTGAAAAGAGTCAAATGGTGGTGACTCTTTAGGCTAGGTAGGCTAATAATGTAAGGATCAAGCCCCCAAGTCTAGCTCTACATGAATAGGGATGAGCATTGGAGATCCTTTGATATGATCATGGTGTGAGTATGTGAATGTGAATATGAATGCAATTTTATTACGGCCGCACCTCGATGTGAGGTTGCCTACGTATCCGTTAGGAATCAGGCCGAACGTAGCTCTAACCGAACCTCGCACAAGTGTATGTATACCTCAAAAGGTCTTTTTAAGGGTTGTAACGTGGTTAGGCTAAAGGCTTGAAGAAGAAGGGAATAAAGGCTCAAGACCCTCGATAAGCCCCCAAGGTGTGCAACCTCACTTTTAAATCTTTGTATTATATTTTTTTTATGCTTGAGTTTCTACTCTTTTTTAGCTCTTTTTTGCTTTAGAATTTATTTTATTTTTATAATTGTGGGCAATCCCGATCATGCGATCTATCACTCACTTGGCATTCATGTTTCTCAGGCACGGTACCGAGCACTCGATAAGAGACGCAATCTGAGACGTGTTCTTATCGAAGACATTTTCATATCAAAGACATTGGAACACTTACCCTTTTGTACACTTTTATTTATTTATTTATTTTATTTATTTTGATCTTTTGAAGTCACTCAAGCTTTTTATGATATTGAAAACTGCATAAGGTGCACACTATCCCATCCCAAAGTTAGGTAGATGTAGGTTGAAAAAATGAAAGGTCTATCATTAGACGAGGCTCAAAGTGGTTTATCAAAAAAGGATTGCATATTTAAAGGGTGAAATGTGATATGATGTGGCTACAAGGGATGCCGCAAATCATTGGTATACCTTGTGATTAGTTTTGACATGATTTTTTTTTTTTTGGCAATGTAACGATCATATGCAAGGAAATAAATGCTCATTTTATTAAAAGGAAAAAGAAAGAATCTACAAAATTAATCAAAGGGAAAAGAAAGGTGCCTATGCTAGACTTATTAGGGAAAGGGTAAATAAAAAAGAAAAAGAAGAGGTCATGAAATCTTGTCGTTGAAACTCGCCTCTTGTCTTGTGTTGTTTGCTTCATCATCACCCAGTCTTCTCGTTAGCTAGAGGCAATGGGATCTTATTTGCTTCTATGAGATCTTGAATGACCTGTAGCATTCATCAGTAGTATGACCGCGTCCTCGATGGTACTTGCAATAAGAGTTGGGATTCCATCTCGAAGATCGATTTTCTGGAGATGGATCCTTGGTAGGGCCAATAGGTTTGATTAACCCTCTATCATAGAGACGATCGAAAGCAACATCGTAGGTCATTCCAATGGGCGTGAACTCTCTCCTTGGTTTCTTTTTAGATCCTTGATTGTCCATGGCTAAGACACCATTATGGTCAAAGGTACTAACATTATTACTAGAGTGGGCGTTTTCGGAAGAAGAAGGATTTTCGTTCTTCTTTCCTTTCCAGCCACTATGGTTACTATTGTTAGTAGCTTTTTGCTTTGCGAGGTCGTCTTCGATTTTGATACCTATGTCATAAACGGCCTTGAAAGTATTCAGATTGTGTTGATATTTTAAGTTGCTTTGAATACTTTTCTTGGAGACTCTTGATAAATATCCTCACAGACTCCTTTTCGGTGGGGACCTCAATCAACTTAGCGGAAGTTTCCCTCCACTTGTTGAAGAAAGAAGTAAAGCCTTCATTCTCTTTTTGTCTTAGCATTTCAAGTTGTTTATAATCAGTTTCGATTTGGATATTGCATTTATATCTATCTATGAAAGCGTTTGTTATTAACTCCCAAGAAGAGGTTTTCTCTTTGTCAAGGGAAAAGAACCATTGTTGACAAATGGTCTCAAGGGATAAAGAAAACAAAGAATGAAAGACTTTCTTATCAATCCCCTTAATGTTCATTATAGTTTCAAAAGCTCTTAGATGAAAATAAGGGTTATCTGTTGCCTTGAATTTTGGGATGTCGTTGGCATTGAACTTATGCAGAAGAAGTTCTTTATCCACCAAGACCCCTTGTGAACTAATGCCCTGAAATTTATAGTCGTTATATAGCTTGCTCAAGCTTTCTTACATGAGGTTCATTTGTTGTTGCTTCATAGGGTCATCAATTTTGAGGGTTAAAGCCTTTAACACCTCAATGACGTCAGTCAATTGACTCCTAAGTTCATCAACTTCCTTTTGAGTTGCCATTATCATTTTAGCCTTCCTCTTTTGACGAATCGGTTTATCAAAAAGCAAGACTTGAATAAAGAGGTTGTCCTTGATTAATCGTCCTTCTCTCCTCGACCAAGTACTGTGGAAAAGGAATTTGGGGATATTCATTGTTAATTATTTGACTCAAACTTTATTCAACATGCAATGGATGGAGGAAGGTAGGAAAAATTAAGGTTGTAATGTGAAGAAAGCATGTAGAGAATGGAAACATGATGTAGATGGAGAAATATGAAAAAATTAGGAATAGAATGTACCCCCAACTCAAATGACGGAGAAAACCGACTCATGCATGAACCTAAGACATGGTCATGGTGTATATACATATTAGTGGGTGCTTTATTGTGAGTGAAAGTGACATGTTAAGACTCGTGTCATGACCATGTGGCTAGACTATGTGACTAGACTCGAACAAAAACTAAGTTAAGACCTCACGTATATGCATTAAACTGGACAGGCTGTGGTATTTTAGTCATACCTTTTGATATGTGATTCTGATTTAGATGAAACCAACGCCAAAGTAAAGATAAAACTCAGGGCTACAGATCCATAGGTTGTAAGGCTCGTAGTTCTTCCTAGAACTCTGTCTATGACCAAAACAGGTTGACGTTTGTGCAGTATACGGGAATAATAATCCGGGTTGATTTAAAGGAACTATGACTCGATTTTAGGCATATTTATTAGCTCAAATTAATTAGTAAATTAACTAAGCAAAGTCCTTTAGTTATTAATTAGTTTATTTAGTCTTAACACAAGGCAAACAAACGGTTAGGAAAAAAAACAGATAGAGTATGCACAACAAATAATGCACAATTAGTCAAGTAGGCACAATATGATGCTATGAGTTTGCAACCTAACCATGGCTCTAGTTCTCTAAAGTTCGGGATATGGGTTAGTCAATAGAGGGTCCACGCTTAATTGTCCGGATGTACCGCGCGGAAGCCTAACCGTGAAGGGTTGGCGGAGTGGACGGGACACCGCGAGTTAAGAAAAACTCGCTTCCATGGTTTAGTGAATTCAACATTCTCGGATGTACCCTTTGTTGCTCAGAGCGTTCAATCAGGTAGATGGAGCATAAATTCCCAGAGGGTTATGTCCATATGTAGAACACATATGGGTTTCAGAAAAGTGAGAAAAACTCAATCAGGAAGTAGGATCGAGCAAACAGTGCTAAAAACTGGTCAAAATTAGAACGCATATTTCTGGCTCGGCATTGGAAGAACTTGGCGCCAGCAAACAAAGGCTGGCGCCACAATTTGGCTTTAGCCCCTGGCGACAGAAGTTGTCGCCTGGCTCTAAAGTTAGATAAGTGGCGCTAGACTTTGTTTCCTGACGCTAGTTCCTACATGTCTCAGCAGCTTTCTGTGCTCGATAAAATTTTCCAGTTTCGCGCAGCATTATTTCGGTCCTAGTTGTGAAAGATATTTCTCAAATTTCCTACGTGTAAAAATCCTATGTTTTAACTCATTACGGATGGTCTTTCCAATGAGATCTTTTTTATGCATATGAAAATAATGTTAATCAAAATTACGCACATGAAATACTTAGAACTTTTCAAGTCTCATCCACTCATTCTAAATCATTGCCGAAATAAATTTCAGGAATTAAAATAGAAATCCTCCCCAGTGGAGTCGCCAAAAACTGTAGGGAATATTTCAAGCATTACCCCTAGCTTGAACCCCACTATGATCATACACTAAAGTACGGTGGCGTCCAAAGGGAAAGAAGATCACTAGTAGAAAAAATGTTATTTGTAACTAGCAAAATTGACTTTTTGTAACTGGCATTGTTGGTTGCGAATGCCACCGTTACAACTAGTGAAAATTATTCGTAACTAGCTAATGTTAGTTACTAATAATGTACTATTTGTAACCGGCTTTACCCAACGACAGTTACTAATAGACAATTTTCCAAGTTAGAAAGCACACTATTTGTAACTGGCGTTAAGTTATGCTGGTTACAAATAAAGTACTATTTGTAACAAGCATAGCCTAACGCCAGTTACAAATAGTGTTTTTATTTTAAAAAAATAAATAAAATGGTAGCGGTAGAAAATTCCCTCTACTGCCACCACCCGTACACTACTTTTTTTTCAATGTAAAGACCATTAATTATTAATAAACTTTCATAAACTATAATAACTATTAATTTAACCAATATAAGATAAATAAACTTTATACAACATCTTGTAAATTATATTGAATTGATGTACTAGTAAATTACAAATATTTCTCACACAACTCACAATAAATAATACTCTATAACTAAAAAATAAAAAAAAGCTAGTTAGTTAATTGTTACAATGTTTAACCTTCAAATTTTGATGATTTTTTCAATTTTGTCTCTGTCTGCTTCACAAATTAAATTTGACTGTTCTATATGGGATAGCAGCAATTCACACTGAGCACTTGATATTGCGCCAGAATTCTGCATGGGGAAGAAATATATACATTAAAAAAGCCAAAAATAAAAAAGGGTTGTTTTAGACGATCACTAAAAGAACTCTTCCAATTACATGGGCAATGCATCAAATTGAGGGGATATAAAAGAAAATAAGCATCAAAACTCACAAGAAAAACTTCAGTCACTTATTAGACAAAACTAGTCACAAATAAATTCAATACAGAAATCAAAATAAGTAATTCCGCTAAAACTATGCCATGACTAAACTAGCTATCACATACATATAATTGTATCTGACTAAACTGTCACATAAATATAATTGCTTTTATAGTTAAAGGGAGAGCAATAAAACAACCCCACATACAAAATACAACAAAAACATAGGGTAGGAGATGCTTGGTGCCTTAACTAGCTAGCTCAATTTTCAGCTAGCACAATCTATTACATACACAAGCTAGGAGATACTTGAAGTAGCTCAAATTTCAATTTTCTGAACTAGAGACCAAACCATAACATACAAGAGATAGCAGGTGCCTATTATCACAACCTATCACATACACAAGTTAGAAGTTGCTTGAAATACAGGGAGACATACACTTAGGAAAGTCATTCTTTGCAAAATTATTTAATTACCTTGATGAATCTAAGTGCCAAAACTAGCTCAAAACTCTGTTGACCTTTGCTTGAGTGAACTCCAACCTAAAATGTGACCACAAAGGACGAAGCCAGGAATTAAGACTCAAGGGGGGCCAAGGTTTATATTAAACAAAATAGTACGGTAATCGTATTGTATCTCCTACATTTTTTTCACATCAAAAAATTTACTCTAAGACTATTATAAATTAGCTTTGACCATAACTTTTGACTAATATATAAAATTAAATTTTTATAGAAGAATTTACTACGCTAGGAATTTCATGATTGTCAATAATATAACTTATATACCCGTTAATATGTTTTAAAAAAAGAAATAAGGATAACGCTTGTATGCCAGGAATCAAATTCTTTTATCAGCCTCAACGCATCATAGTATAGATACATCAAAAACTAAAATATGGCTTCAGGCACTATAAATTTAAGCGACAATAAATTGAGGTGTATGTGGAAGTAATGGAACAATAAAGAGGAAAGGGAACAAGATAAAGACTTATATTATATGTAAAATTCCAGTAATGTTCAGACAGAAATAAGAAAGGTTATTAGCTACGAGATATGTACAATCCATGAGTAAGAATTAGATACAGAACTTCCATTTAATTACACGAAGACCCATTTACCAAAAGTGGGTAGTAATATAAACATCAGATTTCAACCATGAGTCTGACCACCATAAGCTAGATGCATCTGATATCAGTTTGGATATGTGCTTGAACATTGTATGTAATAAAATTAATAAAATAAAAACCTTACTCCTTGAAGATACAAGTGAATCTGACAACATACAGGCCAACCAAAATGACGTGTACCAAGCAAGCAAAGACATCAAACCTAGCTTCCGATCTATCAATAAAATTTTCCACCACGATATATAATTTCTCAAGAAAGTTTACATAAGTTTGTTTCTATAGCCTCTTCACCATGTTTTAAACACAAAATATGTCCACAAATCAGAGAAAAAAAAATCCACAAAAAGTGTAGTAGTAGCAAGGATGCAATTTATGTGAGTAAAACACTCTTAAAACAACCTAAACCACATAGGAATATCCCAGCAAAAATCTCAACACAGCTCTAAGAAAAACGCACTAAAACAGAAGCATATACCAGTTGAACCAAAACTGACCAGTTTTCATAAAACAACCCAGTTTAATATGAAAATAGTATAGTGCATCCGGAAAGAACATTAGACTTATTTTAAAGAACATACTAGTGTTTGAAAAAGAACATGCTAGTATTTGAAAAAGAACATGCATAATAGTGTTCAACACAAGAACATGTTTGTGTTTGACAAAGAACATGGCCTCCGAAAAGAACATTAGGCATATTTTAAAGAACATGGAATAAAAATAACATGTTAGTGTTTGAAAAAGAACAAGTCAGTGTTTGAAAAAGAACATGCTAGTATTTGAAAAAGAACATGCATAATAGTGTTCAACAAAAGAACATCTTTGTGTTTGACAACGAACATGACCTCCTAAAAGAACATTAGGCATATTTTAAAGAACATGGAATAAAAAGAACATGTTAGTGTTTGAAAAAGAACAAGCTAGTGTTTGAAAAATTAACCTTGCTTAGTTATCTTCCAGTTGGCTTCAATTCATTACTATTCTTCTTTCTCCTCTAATTGTTCTTTTTTTAATAACTTGTACTTTATAGCTTTAATTTTTTATTTTATTTTTTTTTAAAAAACCCCAAATTCACAAAATTAAACACTTTGACTTTAAAATTATTGACGAAAAACAATTTGCATGTACAAAATTTATACTTACATTTTACTTGAATCCACCATTTGTTTAAGTTTGAAGGTTGAATTGTTGAAATAAGTTCAATTTTTTTCTTGGGTTTCACTTTGAAGATGAACAATTTTACTATTTTGAAATTTTTTTGAAAAATAGAAAAAAAAAATAGAGATAAAAGTTATGGAGAGAGAAAATGAGTACTTTGGAAATGATTTTTACCCAAATTCATTGAAATTCTTAAATGAAAACGATGGTGTAAAGGAGAGTAAAAATTGGCAGCAAGAAAGAGAGTGATAGGAAGGGAAAGAGGAGTGAGAAATTGCAGGAGAAGAGAGTGATGGATTTGCAGTTGTAAGAAAATAAAAACATGTTCATTTTTTACCCATGTTCTTTTAAATATACTAAATGTTCTTTTGGTGCACCATGCGCATGGTGCACCCGGGTGCACCAACCACAAATTATCAAAAGCTTGTTCCTGTTTATTAATTTTGTTTCCCTTAAATTATTGATAATTAAATTGTAAACATTCTCATAGAAGAATTAAAATCAAACACACAATAAATCATAATAAAAAAAATTTCCCAGAATTGAAGATCCATACCAAATGTTCAACTATACACCGATTTAGGAATTTTAAGCCCCGATTTCTTTCTCTTGCGCTTGAAACTCTCGCCACCCAACTTTTCAAATCTGATATTCTTCAATCTATCCCAATTTACTATGAAACCCGAAAATTTCAACTAAAAAGTGATAAAACCACAAAACTTCCATTAAATTAAATTATTAACAAACAAGCATAAACCCTAGAATTCTATTTATTTATTTTTTTTCAAAAACCATGTAAAATTAATCAAAAATAAATATATTAGTCTAAGATCGAGACATACCGTAATGATATTGATGAATGAATTTTGGAGAACCTTTAATGGAGTTTTTGTGGACTTTTTACTTTGGAGCAGTTTCAACTTTTAGAGGAGAGAGAAAATTTGTGAGCCTTGTGAAAAATGGGGACCGATTTGTAACTATGAGGGAAAGAGGGTCTATGACTAATTTCTTCTAAAAACATTAAAATTAAAAAGTGAAATGAGAGTCATGGGTGTTAGGCAGCATTAGTAACCAACTTTAATAAAGCCCCTTACAAATTAATAAGGTCAATAAAGTTTGACCTATTGTTTGTAACTAACTTTTTATATGCCCATTACTAATACTAGGTCATCCTATCTTTGACCTATTATTTGTAACTGACATTGCTAATGTCGGTTACTAATATTAAATTATTTGTAACTTGTGTTATCTATGTTAATTATTAATACTCTTGTAATAACTAACATAATGTATGCCAGTTACTAATAGCGCGTTACAAATAACATTTTTTCTACTAGTGGATAGAGCAAAATAGTCGCCAACAAGTTTTTTAAGGAACTTGTAAACCGTTCACGAGGTGAAGGTTACACCCCTTAACGATCCAGGAGATCGTCAACTCCGATAGGTCTTGAACCATGACTAGTAGTTCGGGGATGAAGGTACAAATCCAAGCTAAAAGAGATTGAACCTGCCTTACTAATAGGTGTAAGGAATAATTTCAAGCCTTTAATCCCACTAGCTTGAACCCCACTGTGATCATACACTAAAGTACGGTGGCGTCCAAAAGGGAAGAAAATAGAGCAAAAGAGTCGCCAACAAGTTTTTTTAGGAACTTGTAAACCGTTCACAGGGTGAAGGTTACACCCCTTAACGATCCAAGAGATCGTCAACTCCATAAGGTCATGAACCAAATAAGGGTTCGGTGATGAAGGTACAAATCCAACCTAAAAGAGATTGAACCTGTCCTAATAATAGGCCTCTACTCTATTATGCTCGTATTCATGTGCGCTTTCTGATTAACATGCAATCAATAGGATTAACCCTAAACCTGTTTAATCTATGTTGGTTGAATATTAATGTACAAACAAATCTATTTTTGGCGATCACTTGAATTATAATCAAATTAACCCTAAACAAGATTACTAATTATCTTATTAAGCGTGATTACAAGTACAAATTCCCTTTAAGCAGGCAATGAAGGTGATCAAACAATAAAGAATAAATAATGTCAACATAATCAATAATAATCATGAATAATAATAATAATCATAATAATATCATCATAATAATAATAGTAATAATGAATAAAAATAATCATCATCAAAATAATAATAATAATAATATTCATAAATTATCATAAATTATAACAATTATAATCATAATCATGTTCATGTTAATATTAAAGCATAATAAACTAGCAAGATCCTAGGCATGATACTAACAAGATTAATAACAAACCCTAGCATGTCACTAAGCAATAAAAATCAAAGCTTTAACCCTAACATGATACTAACAATCATAAATATTAGGAAGAACATAAGAAGCATCGCAGGAATCATATTTAATATTAAAATTACCCTAGACATGATACTAGGAATATCATAATAACAATATAAACATGATGTCTACATCATAACATCAATAAAAACCATTAAAGTAGTTACTTTAATGCCTCGTACCTCTTTCTAATAACAAAATACACACGTTAGTAACTTCAAGGAAAATAATAAACAACAATTAAATTAAATAATTGAAAGAGAGATTTGGGACCAAACCCTCAGAAATTAAACCTTTCACGTCTAGGGCGAAGGCAACTTCGAATATGGTTAGGTGTTTCTAGATCTTGTGAATGCGGAATTTTGTATGACAAAACAAAGTTTAGGAGGAGATGAATGAGAGAGATGAATGATTTAGAGAATGCTAAAGAATAATGATTGTTGATGAATGATGGATGTAAATGATTAGTGATGAATGGTGATGATTCGTGAATGAAAACGGAATTTTTAATACGATATTTATAGAGAAAATCAGCCAAAAAGGATAATTTAACAAAACAGAGTCTGACGCTCAGGAAACAGAGCTGGCGCCAAGCCTGGTTCCAGGCGCCAAGGCCGGGGGTTGGACGCCAAGCTCAATTTTAACGCGTTTTCGAAAATCTGATAAGATTACCGTACTGGAGGATAAAATAATATAATTTCTTCGAAAATGCTATTTGATCTTGATTAAAACTGTGAAAAGTCAATAAAGTCAATTTATCAATGCCAATTGAATTAGGAATCTAGAAGACTAAAACCATTCCTAATTGCATTAGGAATGATAAATCATATTAGGCCCTCCCCAAGATCATTGGGCCGTACATAAAGCTCAAACCGGGCCCAGTTTAGTAAATTGGCTATAACTTCCTCAATATTCATCGGAATTGGGCTTATAATATATCGTTGGAAAGGTCTTTGCAAGCCCCATCCAACTACACTACCATTGGACCCATATCATGGACCAACCAAACTGGATTGGCTGTTTTCTTAAAATAAAGTTTTCAAAAACAGAGAGAAGAGAAAAGAAATTAAAACTATCCGCAACACTAAACCTTTCCACACTTTCGTTTCATTCGATTATGATTCGACGTGAAAGGTACTCATCACTGAGTTTGGTTTTGGGGAGACACAAATGGGTGTCTACAGAAGCCCCCACTTTGACTGAGTTTGGAGAAACGTAAGTTTCGAAAACAAAAGTCAAAGTATCGATAGGGACGGAGAATGATTCAGAACGTTCTGCGATCCTAAATCACTATTGTGACGTCGATACCTGCAAAACTAGCGTTAGTTAAACAGATAAAAGAGTTAAGAAACGCGTATCTTGCACCGTCGAGCACACGTCTCTGAAAGTAACCGATCTGTTTTGATGACCTCCTGCAAGCTAGAGAATGCCATCCCGCTTGAAAACTGCTACGCCTGTAACTGCTTCGAAATTAGAAGATTGCTTCGCCTGAAACGATCCTCCTCCGCAATGATAATACTCCACATCCTAGGGAATACCATTGAAGATTATTTCTCTTGAAACAATCCTCATCCGCATTGATAATATTCCACATCCTAGGGAACACTGATTAGGGGATTTTTATCCACCAATCACCGTTTGACAAGTGGACCAACCAGGTTCCGCCACGTGTCCTTCACGTAGGCCAATAGGAGCCTGCCACGTGTCAATCACAGATACGTCCTCTACGGACCAATTGAGACACGCCACGTGTCCACCCATGCCAAATGGGAAAACCGGCCAACAAGGCCCAATCCTGTCTAGAGGCCCGGTCAGCCCTAGGTTTACCCTAAACCTAGAGAGTGGCACGCTTCTCAAGACTATAAATACTTAATTAATCCTCATTAAAGGGAATCAAGCAATTAATCTCACCTGAAGAACGGAACAGAACAGAAACGTTACGGAAGACACTAATAACCGCCTAATCTCGCTAACAAAGCAGATTACCAACATTAAACACTCTCACCTAGAGAGATCTTATTACTTTAATTTCCGTATTAATTACTCCTTAATCAGGTACTAACTTGACCGTTGGAGGCGGAGCTCTCAGGAGTCTCCGTTATTTTGCAGGTACAGGCGTCCGGTTCCAGTCTCGGAATTGTAACTCTCCCGCAGGACATCAGAAGACCCCGAAACATTTGGCGCCGTCTGTGGGGAGAGTACTTCAGAGATGGCATCCAAGTCTGTACCGACTCCTGAAGAGAGGCGTCCCCTAAACGACCCTCAAGTTCAGTCGGACCATGACACCGAAAGTGAATTTGAAGTTGAAACTCATACAGCTCCAGACGGGACCCTAAGGGCCCGACGTACCCGTCATACCGAAAGGAGGGAACGGGAGCATCTTCAAACAGGAAGCGAGCCAGCAGGCGCACCGCCTGCTCGGCAACAGCCGACTGATGGGTCTGCTCCCATCACAAGGAACGAACTCCTGACCTTCATGAGGGACTTCAAGGGAGAGATTCAAGAGTTGATCAACAAGAAGCCGCCTGCTTCAGTCAAGGAGCAGTCGGCCAAGAAACCTTCCACTTCACTGAAGAGGAAGCCAGTTCAAGGGCGAGAGGCGACTCCTCATCCTAAATCTAGGAAGCGGGAGCCACCTGCTCTTGATTTCACAAAATTCCGTTATCCTACAAGAAATAGGAAACCGGTTCGTCATATTCAGGCGGACGGGTCAAAGCAAACGTTCACAGATGCTCGGCTACTGCTAGAGCAGAAGAAGAGTGACCGATTGTCAGAGTTGGCTTCTACTTCAGACTTTCAAGACAGTTTGCGAAATGCCTCGATGAGGCATACTCAGTCGTACCATGAGAGTCAGTCAGGCGGCACCTCCCGTCAGTCCGGCTTTCATAGTGCCCAGGCGGTACCAAACTTACCATTTGTGCCGCAACAACAGTATTTTATGCAGCCACCTCCATTTGGTGGACCTGCAGCAAAAAACGTCCAACCTATGGACTGGCAGCTACGGTTGCTTAGACTTGGTGAACAGCCGTCGGCCTTCTCCAAGGAAATTACTGAAGCCGCTCAGCCGGCCAAAGTGAAAAATGTACTAGTAGGCGCCTATGACGGCACTACTAACCCAGAAGACCATCTGATGGCATTCACCAACCTGATGTACCTTCAAGGGTTGGATGATCCCACTTGGTGCAAGTGTTTCCCAGCGACTCTCAAAGGAATCGCACAGCAATGGTTCGGCAACCTGCCGACTGGTTGTGTAAATAGCTTCAGGACGCTTGCTTACTTGTTTGCCTCCAACTTCGCCATGAACATCCCTGCGAAGAAAACGACCCTTGATTTGGGAACAATTCAGCAGGGCGAGAAGGAGGGGCTTCGTTCTTACATCAGGCGGTTTAACCTGATGAGAATACAGATTCAAGGGTTACCGGATGAGGTAGCTTATACCGACTTTTTTAGAGGTCTCAAAGACGGGTCTACCTTCAAATTTGATTTGGTTCGAAAAAGGGTGGCGACACTTCAAGAGGCCTTGATTGAAGCAGAAGCCTATATACAGGCGACTGATCTGTGTACGATAAAACAGTCGGACGGGAAAAGGTTCGAAAAAAGAGAAGGACGACAGAAACAGTCGTCTAACAAAGATGAGAAAAGAAAAGAGGTCTGGGCGGCTGATTCCTCTAAACAGCCGGCCCAGAAGAAGAAAAAAGAATT